CTGCGGCGGCGGTGGCGGCTGCTGCTGATGCTGCTGCTGCTGTGGGGGAGGGGGAGGAGGAGGCATCAGGTTTGAGCCCATGGACATCATGTCCGCAAAGTCGTTATGGGGCATACTATGCCCAGGGGAAGCAAGAGGCGGCGGTGCCGGCGACTGGCCAAAAGATGTTGCCGTCCCCATGAACTGGGGAGGTAATTCCAACCAAGCGTCGCTGAAGTTGAGTCCTTCGCCGAAAGAAGGTAGATTGTAATGATCGGCAGTCATGTCCTCGAAGAAGGAGCTGAGTAATTTGGTTTCATTGTCGGAGAGAAGAGGAGCGCCAGGCGCAGGTTCGGGAGGGTCGAGGAAGAAGTCTTGCGAAGGATCAACGGCATCTAGAAAAAGATTGTGAGTATTTGACTTTGGTGGGAAATGGACGAGACGGTTTACTAACAGCCGAAGGGCAAATTGGGGTCTGACGGCTGCGTCGAACCCATCCTGGGACGTTGTATGGCGAGCATGGGTGCGTCTTGTGGCAAATGGACGGTGGCCGTCGAATGCGCTGGTTCTGGTTCTGGTTCGGAGAGCGAGAGACGTTGGTCGCGAAGGCCTCGAAGCGTAAGAAAGAGTGAGTGTAGTCGACTCGAAGGAGGGCATGCGCATTCCTATGGGCAAATCGATATCCTATGAATCATTGACGGAGGGGTGGGACGTGTGTATCAGGAGCGCAGTGCAGCGCAGCGCGTCTATACCAAAAGGCTCGTCCGGCTGGGAGAGAGCATACGGTAGAGCGGTCTCGAATGGGTTATCAGCGAGTCGCTTGATTGCCTTGTGATTTGGCGGGGTGGCGGATTGTAGTTGTGGCAGCAGCGACCGCTATGGTGTTGTTTGATAGGAGTCTGGAGAGGTTGGTGGGTGTATTTGCCGTCTTTAGGTGCGCGCCGTGGCAGAGCAGGAAGAGACCGAAGTAGAGGCTGGCAGGTTGCGTCGAGGCGGAGGTGGGGTGGTGGCTGCGCTTAGGCACCGCACCGGGCTTCTGGATTCCTAGTGCTAGAAGGAGGTTCTCTTCGCCGTCGTCTCGTCCGATGAGCGGGGGGTGAGGGGGAAGGAAGGAAGGAAGGATGGATGGATGGATGGCGATGATGAGCGTGAGGCAAAAGGCGGGACGGGTTCCGTGTAAGGTAAGGCGAGGCAAGGTGAGGTGAAGTGAAGTCGGGGAGGGCAAGCGGAGCTGGGGGCAGCGTGTGGGATGGCGGCGGAGTGGTGTACTAAAGCACGGCGTCAAGCAGTGCTACGTTCTCGATGGATGGTGAGATGGAGAGCTCCTAGTTGAAGAGCATCCAAGGTCTACCCCGTATGGCGGACGTTAATGCGGCCCATGCAGGGCTAAGGAGAAGGAAGAGACCCTTGAGACTTGTCGAAAGGCACCTCAGAAGCAGAGTCTGGGTACGGAGTAGTCTCTAGACGTACGGTGTCGAGCCACGAGAGGGCGAGGGTACGTGTGTTTGTCCAAGATGGGATGTGAGCGCGAGGCCCATTCGAAGCATTGGCCTGCTTGTATAAGGTAGACAGACTCTGGACCAACGTGTACGAAGCTGAGGTGGTGCTTTGGCTTGATGTTGAGGTTGGCTCAACCGTGTACTTGCATATCTGAGAGAGCGCCAAAACGGATAGCGAGGAATAGCAACAGGTGAGGTGAAACGAACCCCCAATCAGCTCAGGGAGGTGGCCAGACGTAAGCTAAGGCAAGTAAGACAGATGGGAAGAGGAAGCGGACGTGGTCGAAGGCGTAGGACGTGGGCGTGAGGTGACGGACACGGTACTCTCTGGTAGGTACTGTACGGTGCAGCGAGAACGAGGGCTCAAGGACTCCGTGATTTTTTTCAGTCGGGGAGAGTGAGTGACGAGCAGGAAATCAAGGACTCGAAAAGAATGAAAAGTCTGGGGCACCAAACAGCCAAAGTACGACCCCTGTTATTTGACCAGGGTGGTTGAGTGCTAGCCTGAAGTGTACTGCGTAGAAGAGAGAGGTCAGAGACTCTGACTCTCTGAGTACGAATAGTAGTGAGGACTGATGTAGAGGTGGAGGAACTTAGGAAGAGGGATCAGGGAGGGCAAAGTCGCAAGTTGCAGGGAGGGGTGGGGTGTGAGGTGTGGGTGGGTTGCCGGCACGGTCACCTGCATCGCGCGCTGCAAGCCTCCGCACTTACCTTAGTGGCAGCAGTCAACGGACAGTGGACAGTTTAGGCCGGCCGGCCAGCAGCAATGGAATTGGAAGTAGGTAGGCAGGGCAGAGCAGGGCTCGAGCCGGCCTAATTTTCCCATTGCTACCTTTGCCCAGTTTCTTACGGATGAGGATGCCATGGATGGCCCTAAGATATCCCGTCCTACCTGCCCTGCCCTTCCCCCAACAACTGAAAAGGACGAAAGGCTGATTGGATAAGGCGCCGGATCTTGGATCGGAGCCATGCGGACATGAGACAAGCAGAACCATATCGTTGAAACGGTGCGGTTGCGCTTACGCCTTACCTAAGCATCCACCTTGGTGTACCACCTATGGAAGGTAGGTACCGGTAGAGGCTGAGGCACCTCTTTCTGGCGGGCTCGGGTCACACGAATGGCGGTCAGCAGGTGGACTACTAAGGGATTAAATAAGTTTTGATTGGTTCGTGAAGCTCTTCTCAACCTTCTCGTTAGCTTGGTGCCTGACTGCTTAGCTGGGTGGGTCGATACCAGTTTTTGATGCTAACGAACTTATGTTCCTAGCGGGTCATCACATGCCAGCTCGGAGCTCCCCCTCTCACCTTCTCCTCTCAATTCTCTCTCATCCCCAATCTCATCCCCCCCTCCCGCTGTCCAGCGCTGTCAGTCATCTTCATCTTCTCCCTGCCCCAGGAATTACCTTCCACTATTCCATTCTAGGCCTGGCCTCTCGATGTACTTTTGTACCTGTATCCGTGCACTCGTGTCCCGCATCATCAGCCTTCCTAAGCTTTTCCCAGCATTTTCACGCACCTCACCGCGCTCACCTCATCTCAGCTTGGGGAGCTTTGCAAAGAGGTTCCACGTTCGCACCCATTCGACATGCTCTGAAAGTTCCTCAGTTTTTGCTCTGCTTCGATATACCCTGTCTTATTCCCGTTGACTCACAACTCTGGCCTCATCATTCGGCCAAACTCGTTGCTTCCATCTGTCGCCTGGAACCGCATCTGTAACACGTCTTCATCCCGTTTTTTGTCTTCAAGTCCCGGTATCTCAATTAACGCTGTCACATCCATACTTGCCGCACTGCCCGTTTGTTCTATCCACCCGGATGCCTCGTACATCAAATCCTTTGGAGTTTCGATGGCTGTCCACAAGTTCCTGCTAAGCACCTAAAGTAGCGCCGACAGATCCTACTAAGGCACCTCACAGACCTTGAACGGTTCTTGACACGGCGAGACAAAGGAAACAAACACAGCCTCGGTTGATACGAAACGGCTGGCTGTCCCAGCCTGTCTGTCTGTGGTTTCCCACCAGCCAACCAGTCAACAATTGACCTCCTGTCTTCAACTGTCCACCAAGCATTCCTCGTTCGAGAACTAGGAGCAAGCGCCGAGATTCTTGACGGACGGTTGATCGCACTGATCGAAATCCTCCACGCCCGAAGCGTCCCACAACTCGCAAGGACAAGAGTTCTTAAGCAAGGCTAGCAAGGTATTCCCTGTCCAACGTCGTCTACCACTACCGAGCCAACGCAAAACGCCGTTCCCTTCAGGTTTTGCTCCAGACAGACTCCAGACTTTGATAGAAGTCTCTTCTTCTTCTTCAGCACCGTCGCACTCGCATGGGTTGCCGCGCCTAAGCCCCATCTGGCTTGGCTGAAGATTCAATCTTCACTCCCGTTTCTTCCTGGCCGCCAAGGTGAACCGTGAAGCTCAGTTTCTCCGCGTGCCAGACCAGCTGATCGAAACACTTGATCATGCAACCAATCACATTCGCCAATCTTGCTAGCCGTGGCGGTAATCTGCGCTTCGGTCACGTTTGCCAGATCCGACCTCTCCTCTTATGCGTATTTACCGTACTCCGTGCTCCGTACCTTTCTCCCTAACTTACCTTACTCTCGACCGTGCCGAGGAACCCAATTGTCACATTTCCTTCGGCCTCACCATTGACCTGCCCCTGGTCTCCATCTGCACCTACTGCACAACCTACGTCGCTCATCCTACCCCAGGCCCTCCATCACGTCGTGGGTCGCACCATTACCCCACAATTTCTTATTTCATTCCCGTCCCCTTCGTCTCTTGACACGCAAGGTACGCCATACTTTTCGCTGTTGAGCACAGCTCCAGCCCTGCCCTAGGCGCTGCGGGTTGGTGGTTGACTCTGGAGTAACGGCCATCACGAGCCTTCAGAAGAGCAAGTTGATCAATACTACCCCCTGGTAAGACGCGCCCACTAGTTCGCCATCTTCATTACGCGTTTTCCCGTTATTCTTCAAACGTCTTAGGACACCTACATGCCTAGACTGTTCTCCTGTAGCTTGTTTGATTGGCATCCGAGGTATATGCCCAGCTTCTAGTGAAGATGGGCCGGGCAATCCCGAACCTTGTTCCTCATAACCAAATACCTGTCATCGTCTGGTTGGTCTTCCAATTCTCGACATGATTCATACTCTGTAGCTGGTGCGGATGGCCAGTCCGCTTGCTGCTTCACTCCCCTATTACCTAACGTAACTCATGCCTTACCACGGTTCAGCTGTCGTTACGCCCCTACCGATCATCACACTTTCGCCGGTCCTTCACCTTGTCTGCCCAGAGCAACGACCCATGTCTCCAGCCACATCCTTCGTTTCCCAGATCCCCTCTGCTGAACTCAGTTTGACGAGCAGCCTACCAATTCAAACCTCACGCCATTGTACGGTTACATCATAGCATATCCGCATGTGCACAGACACATCGCTTCCGGCTCTTATGCGGATCGCTGATTCTCTGCTCAGGAACCGTCTCCAGTTCAACTACCGGCACTGACGCCGAAGCCTCATGGCTGCCGTCACACCTTCGCTTCCCGCAATGCTACCTCGGAGTCAGCTGCAAATTCGCCGGAATGGCCTTGTCGAGCTACAAGCAATTCCGCCAATCCTACGGCCCCTCCTTCGGGCCTACCTCCTAGGATATGCTTCCGCTGTTGCTCCGAGAGTCCTTACGTTGCTGATGCAATACCTTACCAAAAAACGCCGTCAAATTGCAAAGGAGAACGGGTGCATCGGGTTTGTGGCGCAACTGAGGCGGATAGTCCTCGCCGGTCTAGACCCCCAACGGTTTCCAACCTTCTGTGCCTTGCTTGTTGGTGGCAGTACACTTTTAGAGGTATGTACATTTCTTTCAGCGTGAAGTATCAAACACTTGTAATTGCCGATACCAGGGCTGTGGTTGCTTCACTTGGTCTCAAGTACTGTGAACTAGGCATCCAGTACACATGGTGATGGAGACCTTAGAGTTGCACTGGCTTCTCTCCTAGGTGTACACAAGTTCTTGTCCCTTGCATTAGTTCCTAAAAAGCAACATTTGCAACTTCAGAAAGGTGGCCTGGAGTTCCAGTCACTGTAACTACAACAGTTTGCTAAATAGACCTGACACCTTCTGATAGGAGCCACTTCGACGTGTATTCGAACGCAATGCCAAAAGTCTCACAGAGGTGACTCGAACGAGGTGAGCGGAATTCGATCCTTAATTCTCTTATTGTTCACAACCATCTAGTACTGACACACATCTAGACTCGCAAGATGGAGCGCCACATTTGTTGCTGCCTGGTTCAGTCTGCAGCTTTTGCAGTCCAAGAAGAGCTCGGCCTTTACAGGCACTTCCCCTGAGAAATCGGATAGTCCGCCCGGAGCTCAGCTAAAGGAGACCCGGTATGGAGGACGGACTCTCGACTTGACGTTATTCACGTTGACGAGAGCCCTGGACGTTCTTGTTGGCGAAGTTTGGGCGCGAAGGCGAGCGCGTCGTGTAGCTCAAGGCAGTTGGACCAAGGTATGCACCAATCACTCATCTTGACGTTATCCGTTATCATCGTCACTAACTTCGTACAGGCTGAATGGATCATCGGCAGGTTCACCGACCCTTGCTTGTTCGTCACTTCTTGTGCCTTCATCATGTGGGCATGGTTTTACCATCCCGAAAGGCTTCCCAGCGGCTACAACAAGTGGATCAGTTCGGCGGCAAACGTCGACATGCGGCTGATCGAGGCCCTCCAGAAGCTCCGTGCCAACGACATGTCCTACGGTAAAAGTGGACAGGCAGAATTGCTACAAGGCATGTGTGAGAAATACGGATGGCCGAGCGAATGGGGCGATCCGTCAAAATCAATTCCCATCCCGTGCGAGATGGTGCACATGGGCTGCGGCCCATCGTGCGAGCTCCATGCCATCAGCCGCTTCTATCGGTCGTGGAAGTGGTCCATGGCCATGTATCTGCCCCTGAGCGTGGCGCTTCTTCTGCGGGGGCCTATCAACAAGAAGACCCTCGTGCGGACCTTGTTATCATCGTCGAGGTCGGCGGCGTTCTTGGGAGCGTACATCACTTTATTCTATTACGGCGTCTGTCTCGCCCGTACCAGAATTGGGCCTCACATCCTCGGCAAGGACCTGGCCGCTAGGCAAAGGATGGACTCGGGAATCTGCGTCCGCACGGGGTGCTGCCTTTGCGGCTGGAGCGTCCTTGTCGAGTCCGCCAGTCGTCGCAAAGATATGGCGCTGTTCGTCGCCCCGCGGGCCATGGCGACGCTGCTGCCGCGGCGGTACGGCATGGACAAGCAGTGGAGAGAGACGCTCGTTTTCGCCGCCAGCACGGCTGTTGTTTTCACTTGTATCCATGAGAACCAGACCCGTGTACGCGGCGTGCTGGGCGGTGTATTGGGAATGGTCTTGCGCAACTAGAAAAGAGAGAGATTGTGTTTTTTGCTGGGGGAGTACACACTTCTCAGCGTCGGTTAGGGGGTTCCTTACATGGGAACAAAAAACGAGTGTTTTGAATAGAGATACTGAAGATGGTTTAGATTCTGAGTACACTTTTCATACTTGTACTCTTTCTGTTACAATAATGAAGCTGGGCCGGAGCGAATGGGTTCTGGTATTAGAGCGTTTGTTAGTTTATTGTACTAGAACAAGAAACGCAGAAAGATGCCGTGGCAGGCTTTCTGCTACCCAGTACATGTTGGTACCGTGATTCAGCGAGAGACGAGAAATGCGAATCAAGTGTGAGACATCCATAGCGGACTTGACCCTCCAGTGCAGCTTCCCGCCGCCATGCCACTTCGTGCCCAAATGTTGGTCTTCAAACTGACGCATTGGAATGCACTCGGATGCCACCAGCGACGGCCATCCAAGCACACCTTGGTAGATCTATCGCACAGCCATACTAAAACCTGTGTCGTGGCCTATCGTATGATGAGAGCCAGGTTCCTTTTTCTACTTATAAACGAATAGGTAGTTCTCCGACAGTGTGATTTCGACGGTAAACTTTACCTACAACACCCTCACTATTGATGCCATGTGCCGGGGACGCACACATAGGAGAGCTTAAAGAATACTGTGTAGCTATCCTATGAGATACCACCTTCAAGATAGTCTTGCGCTCGTAATTTGGTTTTGCATACCGTGAAATACAACATCAAAGCTGCTATGAAAGCCCTGAAGGAGGGCGTTCCTCGTAGCAATTTCCTGATCAACATGAGAAAACTTCAGATCCAGAAAGACGATTTCGATTACACTGATCGATGAAGTGCTGCCACTTGAGATGGCCGACTACTTTATTTTCTCACAGACTTTGTCCAGTGACACTGCATCGAAGGAAAGTAATAAATGCCTCTCTAAGATGGAGAAATGATAAACAGCCGAGCCGACCTATTTACGTAACACGGTGAATTCATAGAAACGCGGGACCACCAAATAACATGGCCGGCGACCATCCGCCTTCGGCCCGGAGTTGAGTTGAGTTTCGGGGATACGCCTGGAGCGGGGCAATCCAGGGATCAACTCCGGCGTCCCGGGGGTTTGTCGTCCCACCGGCCATGTACCTCGGTCTGATCCTTCGGCTTGGCGTAACCCTTTTACCAGAGTCCCAATTGTCTGCGAGAGAAGGGGTAGTGGCCGAGACCGACGACTTGCGGCGAAACTCTAGCATCTCTTTTGACAAGCTGCTTTGTCGAAGAAATACGGAGTACTGAAAGCCAATATATCCCAGGTCTTGACGGTTGGGAGCTCTCACCGCAACACATGAGTCAAGAACCAATGGGCGTCGTCAACCGACATTAAACAGGAAAAGCTTGGTAAACAACGTTACTACGTAGAGCCGGAGGCTTCTCCGCCGCAATGGCACCCCCTTTCAACAAACATTACCCTCTTCTACAGTTGTGCCAACCATTTCCCCTGCTGACCGGGTTACCTTCCACGCATTGGCTTCTTTGTCCAAGGAGCCAGACAATCAATCGCTTTCAGTGGCATCAAACCAGGATCAAATCACTCATATTAAAGGGAAGAAAAGAAAAGCAGACAAGGGCCAAGAGAACTAACCAGGAACAGCGAAAACTCTAATATGCTCAGCTTTTCTTACCAGATAAACAAAGTATCCACTTGCCACCTACAGTTTGTCAAACTCCTCCCATCGCAACTGGTAAAGCAGAGTCCCCGTCGTGACGTGCCCCTTTCTGGTGAAAGATAGCTCAAGATGGATGTTCAGTCTATATATATTGGCAAGCTTTACTCCCCTTGCTTGGATCTCGTCCCGGCCCGGCCGTTCCTGCGGGATCGGAATGCTTCCAACCAAGTCCAGGACCTCCTGGTGGTTCGGAATTACAATAGTTGGTGTTGACGGCGTGTGTCATTTGGTTGGGTTTGTCCCACCCCCGGGATATTCGTGATCATGACCAAGATTCCCGGTGGGATATTCATGTATATATGTTTCTACAGCACCTGCTCTGATTGCTGAATCATGTTGAAGCAGCCAGCACTCCCTGTTCCCGGGGTTACATTCTCGGACTTTCCATTCACTCGTTCATCTCTCTCTCTCTCTCTCTCTCGCTTTTGTTTCTTCGTCGAGAAACTCCAATCTCGACCTCACATCTCACGCAATCTCCTTCCTCCGACCTCAACAGCAGATCTGCCGCGCTGCCAAACTTCACAAATCTCATAATGCGCCTCTCCCTCCTCGCCACCGCGGCCTCACCCGCCGCCGCCCTCATCGCAGGAACCCCCTTCCACAGCACGCCCAACACCCGCAGCATCGCCGCGAACACGACTCTCCCCGTAACCTTTGGCGCAGTCCTCTTCCAGGCAATGGAAATGCTAGACCTCATCGGCCCCATCGACGCCCTCCAGCTCGTGGCCTACAACCGACACGTGAACCTCCACCTCATCGCCGCCACCCTCGACCCCGTCACCACGGCGCCCGTGTCCCCGACTTCCAACACCTACAACTCGTCCTGGTGGCCGACGTTCCAGCCCACCAACACCTTTGACGACGACCTGGACCTCGACGTGCTCATCGTGCCCGGCGGACCGGGCGTGCGCGCCCCCGGGCTGGAGCCGATCGTCGAGTACGTGAGGAAGCACGCGCCCAGGGTCAAGTATCTCGTTACGATTTGCACGGGCGCCAGTCTCGCTGCTAGGGCGGGCGCGCTGGACGGCAGGAGGGTTACGACGAACAAAGCTGCCTGGCAGTTGATTACTGCGCAGGCGCCGCTGGCTAAGTGGGTTTCGCCGGCGAGGTATGTTGTTGATGGGAACGTCTGGACTTCTTCGGGTGTAAGTTGCTTTTTTTGATATTTTACTATTTGATCCCTTTTTGCGAGAGAAAAGTGGGAGAGTGTGGAGGAATCGAGAAGAATTGTACTGACTGATGCGTGGGTTAGGTTACATCTGGTCTGGACTTGATTATGGAGTTCATCAAGCAGGTGTATGGCGAGGAGTTGTCAACCAAGGTTGCCACAATCATGGAGTTTGTCCCCCATGCTGCTGACTGGGATCCATTTGCGGAAATCAACGGCGTCGCACCGACGTACAATTGATAGTCTTGTGGCTTCGAGGCGATTGGAGAGAAGGAAAGATAGAGGCAGCAACTCGGAGCATGGATTTACTTTGATGTTGAGGATAATAGAGCGCATGGTGGTGGTGCAGCCTGATTCCATTCGCAGTACAAAGTCAGCTTGTTTAGCATTGATTTGGCATAGAATGTCCGTTTTAGGCTGATCCGTCGTCCTTGATAGAAAGTATCGTGCTCAAATAGTCCGGTTGGTGAGGTGTGAAAATCATTCACTCTACTCTTGACTGCTCGGATGACATGAAGGCGTCGAACGTTTAGAGAAAGCTCTTTACCTGGCAGCATTGACATTTTTAGTGATTGGACGCCGTAGCAGGGAAGATCTGGGAACGCCTCGACTTAAACTGAACCGCATCGCCCATTGGAATTCACTTACATCGTCCCATTGCGTGAGAAGTAGACGGGGTCAAACGTGCGTTAGCCGGAGCGAGATATTGACGCTGTTAGCAGACTTGTTCCTGGTACCCTTCTCATCAAATCCATCGCATGACCCTCCTGATGATTGATGAACATTGCCGGGATGTAAGCTAAGCAAACACCATGAATGTGATCAAGGCCGGAATTCTCATGAAAACGCATGGCACGCCTAGGTAGTTGACCAACATATGTTGGCAACAGGGGTCTCATCGACGCTTGAGAAATACACGACGCAGATTCGCATGGAGGCTCAGAGAGAGCTCGGGATGAGTCGCCAACAGAGATGTGAATATCAATATGTCCACTAAGACCTTTATGACGAAGACAGGGGCCCCTATTACCACTATGTTTGCCTGGTCCCCAGAAGTACACATAGGCTTGAGTGAATCCGTGGCTCACCTATGAGGGGTATATGTAAGAGCTGTCAGAGATTCTCCAAGACTTGTAGACTTTGATATCTTGCAGTCAAGTCGACAGAGGGTCGATGCCAGAAGTAATAAGACGGGGAGGTGGGCAGAGGATGCCTGTGTTCTACTCCGATGAGACGAACTTCTGTACTGAAAGATTCAAGAGAATGAGTTGAGATAATCTGTGAGCCTGTTGAGCTGCGACATGTTTCCCTACTGCGATCCTCCAATGGGAGTTGGCTGACCACTAACACCAGAGATGGCGCTCATCATAGTTGCGTCTCAGGTACCGGATGACAAGCACGTTTGCGCTTGCAAACATGTCTTTATAGCACCCGTATATGCTCCACGGCAAGCAGTTGAATGAGATAATTCGAGGAAAAGAAATCGAGCTGCCATGGTATGCGCGAGACGGTTGCCTCAATCCCATTGATGCACTTGCGTTCGAGGCCCATGGCCTTCCAAGGATTCGTGGGGGACGCGTGGGGGACATCTCTGCATAATTTGAGATGACAATCATCATGGAAATCGAAGCATTAGTTCTGCACAACGGCATAAGTCAAATGCGCGGCATTAATCGTGCACCAGCCCACTGTGTCGAGCTTGGACCAACTTATGCCAGGTACGTCCACGTTAAAGCCAAACCCTGCACAATTTGCTGGTGGGGTGGTCAGCTCGGTATAAGTCACCGCTCACCGAGGCACAAAGAATGCTCACCGAAACTCGATATTTCGAGGAGACATAACCGAGAGATGCCGTTTGGCCTGTCATGATTTCTTATAGAAGAGGGCAGATGGTCTCGTACTTCAATCCGGTATTCCGTGACTGTACGGGACAAGCATATAGCCACATCCCGGGTCTTGCCCGTCAGACAAGGATGAACACTCTGCCGGCAACTCGAGCTTCACCTTCACGATATCTCACGAATGCCATCATCCGGAACATTTTCATAGACAGCTGGCCCGGGCTCCTTAGGCGCAATAGAAGAATCCACAGATTATGCAAGTCCAGAGGTC